GGGCAATTGGTTTGGTTTGGAATTTTTTTAGTGTAAACATTAGGACCTCTGATTTTGTTTGCTCGTACCAAAATCACTAACACTTAGTTGGTATCAAAGTGTATACATGTGAGGGCATATGTGTGAATTGAAATCCCACACATCCAACAGTAGTTTTTTTGCTTTTCCAATTTGGTGTTAAAAATACATAATGAAGCTTCCCAAAAATATAATCAAGAGAAAGCTTCAAGACAGAAACATGTTAGGAGAATAAGAAGTTGGTCTGTCACAACAAAAACTTGAACTGTTGTGTCATATCAATCAACAGGTCAACAATGATGAGCAAGAGGCGGGAGCAGTTGGGAGTAGGTAGAAGTCAGTCAAGGCTCCCTTTTCTCTCCTCCTTTGCCTGTTTATAGAGTCCCTGGGTGGCATACATACTTAAGAATTCCACTAATAATCAAAAAGTTGGCCATTTGAGCCCATCCAGAGGTGCCTCATAAGAAAGGCCTGGTGATCTGCTTTCGAAAGGTCATTGCCTTGAAAACTCTATGCAGCACAGCTCTGCTGCGATACACAAAAGGTGGCCATAAGTCAAAGTCAACTCAACAGCAACAGGTTTAGGTTTGGTTTTTGCCTGTTTGTAAATCCAGATTAAAGATAACCCTGGAAAACTGAATAATTCAAAAATACTGTCTTCTTAATTTCAGAAGGAAGACAGCATCACGGTAGTGTGAAGAAAGCACTTAGTTCTAGTCAGACCTAATTTAGGATTCCCACCTCCACTTTCTAACCAGGAGTTTATGTAAGTCCCTAATTGATGGAAACCTCCACTTTCCTGACACCCAGCTCTGAATGTCTCAAGGCATTTTGCTGTATACAAAGCAAAAGACGTTTGTTGCTTTGTAAACAACAAACTTTAGCTGTTTACAAAGCAACATTATCACATATATCCCTCCACTAGAGTTATTTTAATGAATCCTCACCATCATTCCCATTTCATAGCTCAGGACATTGGGGTTCAGGCAATTAAATAGCTTGCCCAGCCATCCAAAACGGGGGTCAGGTCCAGGACTTGACCCCATAATCCTAATTTGAAGTATTGACTTTCACATTTTATTATTTTTGCGTTTGGGGAAGATGGGAAAGGGAAACCCAGGCCAACCGTGTGAAGGAAAAATAAAAATGGTCTGTTAGGCAATTGACGAGATAGCTGTAAAGCCTTGAATCATAGGTGCCAAAATGGACGATAAGGGAAAGGCCTAAGAAATTGTGATAATTCATAATTCATAATTATATTTTTAGAGGAGAGAAGAAAGGAGACACAAGAGTCCTAACAGCTGACTTTAATTTAATGTAAAGATATTTTTCTGTAATATTAGGGGGGAAAAAAGGGGGTGGGGGCCCTGGTGGCACAGTAATTAAGCGTTTGGCTGCTAACCAAAAGGTCGGTGGTTCAAATCCACCAGGAGCTCCTTGAAATCCCTATGGGGCAGTTGTCCTCTGTCCTACAGGGTGGCTATGAGTCGGAATAGACTTAAAGGCAACGGGTTTGGTTTTTTGGGTTTATTTAGGAAAAAAAAAAGTTATAAACCTACTCCGCAAAACGCCAGCAGAGGGCTCTGTGCTAGGTGCATTTGCTTTCGATTACCGGCTCCTACATTTATCCGAAAATGTTCTATCTGAGGTTGAGAAAATGAGGATATTATTAACCTTCTTATTTTCTGTTATAAATCGAAATAAATACAAACGACAGCGGAAAATACTACGAATATAACTATCTGCAATGCCGCTGCTGCGCTTCCACCTTGGGGCAGTGTGTGCGTGTCCTGAAAAAGAGAAATGGACATAAGGCAAGACGAAATAAAACATAAAATGATGATGAAAATACATATTTTACCTCGTTTAGCTTCCCTTCGGAATCCAAAGTTTGTTTTGCATGTACGTTTGCATTTATTGGGTTCTTGTGGGAATCTTTTTCTACACCACGCGATGGAAGTTAAAGTGAAAAAATGCAATAGGAACGAAGCAAGAGAGTCCGGAGCAAGTTAGGGAAATGTTCTTAGTAGAGACTGAGCTTTTATTTGTACATTTTTTGAGGGGTTTGAACATTATACATATCTGACTAGTTTCTAAAGTTAGTAACTATATAATAAGAACTGAATTTTAAAAAAGCTTTTAGCAGATATTCAAGAACCGAAAGAATCGCCGAAAAGAAAACCGAGCGGCCGTGCAGGCTTTGCTTGTACAAAATCCCGACAGAGGGCGCTGTTGCCCGTTCAATGACTTAGGGAAGGCACCCTCGGACAGGTTTCACTTGCAATTTCTAGGATTTTTCGAATAATACCCGCGCTGAGAAATTGACTCAGGTTTCAGTTATGTTATATATTTATTTGGATGTGTGTATAATATTTTATGTTTTATGCTTCATTCTTAATAAACTAGATAAATCAGATTTGTTATTTTTCAGTCTTCCTAAAAAATTTAAATAAAATGTAACCAAATATTTCAAGATGTTTCTAATTTCAAAAAATACTTAACATTAGCATAAAATAAAATTATATATTCAAAATTTGAAATTATACATGTATAAGCCTTTAAAATAGTTTCATATATATAATTATCCCTCCTGAGTTTTTTTTGGGGGGGGGATTTGTTTGTTTTTTAATTTCGTTAAGCCTTAGACTTTATTGACTTTAGACTAATCAATAGTATACCAAAAAATTTGGAAAAATATGTTAAAAGTATTTGGTAAAAAAAAATATAAGATTGTTCCAAATGCTTTTTATTGCAGTTAGAATGATTTTTAGATAACAAAGATAATGGAGTTATTGATTTAAAGGAAGAGGACAATTATTGCCATTAATATATTTGTGTCTGAAGAATCTGAATTTACAAGTCTATAATATTTATCTTGCAGAAATAATGATCTGGAACCCATTTTAGTGGGGAGGGTGAGGTGAGGAAGGATGCCTTGCCAGTCATATCCCCATTCCAAACCAGCTCTGGGGGCAAAAAGAAACATGTTTGCTAGCGCTCACAGTGGAAAACCTGTATAGATTCTGTATGGTTTAAGGTGTTAATATTTACAAGAGAGAAAAGGAGAGAGGAGAGGAAGGAAGGAAATGGGGAGAAAGAAAGAAAGAACGAAAGGAGGATGGAAGAAGAGAAGGGAAAAACAAAAATTACAAGAACTGTAGATGAAGGAAGGAATTATTTCTGAAGTTCCTTTTGAAGCACCTTCTTTATGTTCCTTTCATTTGGGGGAAATTTTTTAAATCTGCAGAATTGTTCATTCTGCACTATATGAAGCGTCTCATCGATTTTCATTGAATCGCTATCCACCGCGATTGTCCGGAGCCCTCTGCTCTTGCGAGAGCGTCCGGCCCTGCTCGCACACCGAGCGCGCAGAAGTCGTGGGTTTAAAGACAAACACCGTTTGCTGACTCCCTTTTACCAGGTTTAATAACTTCCACCCCAAATTACCCGGGTCCCTCTTCATTCCCTCCTGTCATTTATTTTCTGCCCCTGGGGCAAAGATCCTCCTCTGAGCTACCCTTCAGGCTGCAGGAGATTCTTCTGCACCCTGAAAGGGGGTAGAAAAAGCAGAGGAGGTGGGAAAAAAGGAAAGAGGTGAATATTCGCTTCGTGATAAAATTCAGAAACCCTGTACCTTAAGGGAGCCCATGTTCAAGGTTTGGTTAACCTTGTTCTTGTTAATATGTTTTCCTTTTTTTAAAAAAGAGAATTATTTTTTTCAAAAATCATATTGTTAAGAAAAAAGGAATTTCAAAAAATTTTTACACATCCTAAACCATTTTTCACTATCTCTTTGCAGAAGTACGTTCTGTTTAAATCTTCCAATGATTCGGGTGACCATTTCCTCACTCTCCATGATTAAAGCTTTTTACAAGTTATAAACAACAGATGCAAATATAAAATCTCCTATGCTTTTGCAAGAGGAGGTGCAAACTTAACATTGTGTGCGTGTGTGCGTGTGCTCTCAGCATCTGATATAACTTCATAAAATGGAGACCTCAGTCGAGAAAAGAATAACACATGGAGTCCACCCAAAACACATACAAACAACTCCTAAAACGACAAACAATACAGACTGAGGTGTTCAGACAGTATTTAAGTTCCCAAATGTGTTTGGCAAAATGGCCAAAAAACATTAGAACTGGTGACTGTGGTGATGAGGTGGCTTTTTGTTCTACAGTGATAGAGGTACAATTAAAAAAAAAAAAAAAAAAAAAAAGGCCATGTAGCCATCAACACA